CTTCTTTTGAAACCACATGTCCCAAGAAACTTATTTTCTTCTTCAGGAAATGACATTTCTTTGGTTTGAGCCTCAATCCAGCCTTGGCTAATCTGTCCATAATCTCATTCAAATTCTTAAAATGCTCTTCAAACGTCTTCCCAAATACTACAATATCATCTAGATACAGTACTGCAGCGTGCCATTGCAAGTTGGTCAGAGCTTTCTCTATAATTCTTTGAAACGTACCCGCTGCATTACATAGGCCAAAAGGCATGGTGATATACTGGTACAGTCCGCCCCTAGGTGTGGCAAAAGCAGTTTTTTCCTTGTCTCCTTCTGCTAAAGGTACCTGATGGTAGGCCATATCTAAATCTAGGGAGGAAAACCATTCTGCACCATTGAGAGAATCTAGATTATCATCAATTCTTGTCAAAGGATATGCATCCTTTATGGTTTGTTCATTCAATTTCCTGTAGTCAACACACATCCTCCATGATTTGTCCTTTTTCTGAACCATAACAATTTGAGATGACCAGGGACTTGTACTCTTTTCTATAAGATTCTGTTTTTCTAATTTCTTGATCTCATCCTCTAAAGCTTGTCTCTTGTACAATGGAACCCTTCTTGGAGGTTCTCGGATAGGTTTTTCATTATAAAGTTTTATCTCATGGTATCCCAGATTTGTTCTTCCTACTTCTCCTGGTCTTGCAAAACAATCTTGCTTACTAATAATGAACGCTTTGAATACCTTCGCTTGTGTTTCATCAAGGTGTTCGCATCCCCTTTTGTACACGTCGTGTAGATGTTCCGGGATGTCAATAGTCGAGCTATTTTTCACTTCAATTTGCTCTATATTGCTATCACTTGTTTCTAATTCAAATACTGGCCCAACTTTATAAATCGGGGTAAACAATGCTATATGCGTATGTCGGTAGATCTTCACGTCCTCTGCCTTTGGATTAAATATCCTAGCGTAGATTACCGCATTTTTAGAATCAACCAATGTCCTTGCTATAGCTAACCCATACCGTTCCATGAAAGGTCTCTCAGGCGTAAGAACTCCGAGGTATTCCCCTGAATTCGTTTTATTACGCCCAGCGAGTCCAGAAGGAACCAGGGCTTCACCACCAGCTGGGACAACTGTTGACTCCAGTGCTATCACTCTTCCAGGCCCTACTCCATCAGAGCCTCCCAAAGGTACTTTGGCACCTTTTATAATAAAACTCTTTTCATCGTGATCCCATCCACAACGAAACTTTTCAATAAAATCTTCACCAAGGAGGTTATGCTTCACACCTCCTACGATAACAGGATGCTCAAAAGCATCGTCACCAAAGATTAATATTTATGTTGGCATTCAATTTCCTGTAGTCAACACACATACTCCTTGATCTTCCTTTTTCGAACCATAACAATTTGAGTTACCGGATGATTTTTGGTAAAAGTATCAATATCTATTTCTTATCTTATTCTATACTTATCGGTAGTAGTAATGCACAAATATACTGTATAGGTTTTGACATTATATTTACAATACACACATACGATATCGTCAAAGATTTACTTTTAAAATAAAGAAAATTAATAACGATTTGACACACAAAGTGTTTCAAATGTACGTCATCGTCAATCACCATTTTACACTTTCTTTTAGATGTTCCGAAATATGTCAAAATCAAGGAGTTTTTTTTCATACTCAATTAATAGTTATATGTGGACTTGTTTCTAATAAATCGCTGGTTTCCAACTTTTAAGCTTAGGTGATTTAACAGATTTTGAATCAGCTGTTCTTTTGTTTCACAACTCCAAGCTTATTAAATGTCCGGCATCTCGTAAATTATCAATTTTTAGGTAATTAAACCAATGTCCTTGCTATATGCTAACCCATAGCAATCAAAGTTATCAATTATATAAACTGTGAAAACTAATCAAAACAATTTGATTCATTACAACCATGCACTCCAGATCAAGGAACCAGGGCTTCACCAAATTGGGACAATGTATAAGTCCAGTATATATTTATAGATTATAAAACATTCATTTTCTATGCCTTTATAATGTAAACTCTTATTTTATCCCATAACAACGAAACTTTGCAATAAAATCTTCACCAAGGAGGTTATGCTTCACACCTCCTACGATAACAGGATGCTCAAAAGCATCCTCACCAAAGATTAATATCATAGTAGCTTCTCCAGCACAATCGAGAGTTCGCCCATCCGCTACGATGTATGTAGCTCTAACAGGACTTAGAGTGGGTTTTTCTAAGATGCTGTCAAAAGTTTCCTTAGATACAAACGTCCGCTTAGCTCCAGTATCTATTTTCCACTCTATAGATGTTCCTTCAAGCATTCCTTTAACGCTCATATTACTCATCCCTTCAACTACAGTATGCTGTATTTTCATATTGGTCTTCTCAAGACTTCTGTCCATCATTACATCATCTTTAACATCATGACCATGGTTTCTATCTTCCTTGCTTTTTCTCCTCCTTTTCCAATATTTTTTCGTTCTCTCCTTCTTGTAATCTTTATTTTCGTAAGGCCTCTTAAATCCGACTGATACACGGCCTTCCGCACCAGTCGCGTTTAGTTTAAATCTTGCCTTAACTCTTTTTCCACACAATTCGCAGGTTCGCGAGGAATTGTGTACCTATTGTATCCCTGTTTGAACAATTCCCTTGGATTACGGCGCTTAGGATTATAAGGGCGTCCCCTTCTTCCTAGAGTTCCATATCTACAAGTTTCGGGGTTTCTCGGATTTTCATGGGTACCGTAGAATCCTTCACCCGCGCTTGGGGGCTTGGCGGTACCGGTAGCTACCTTAAAATTATTCTCCCCGGTCTCAGTTCCAATTTCATATATTTGTCGGTGGACGACTTTGTGGCCCTTTGACAGTTCTCTTTCTCCAACTCTCAGGCATTCCTCTTGCATAGCATTTATGACAGCTTCTTGCAATGTCTTAGGCCTGGTTCGCTTCACTGCCAGACGAAAATCTTCGGACTGTCCACATTTGTCTAAAAATGACTTAATGGCATTTTCTTCCACTATGTCAGGGTTTTCTGGATAAGCCCGCCTGTAAAGGTCTTCAATTGCCTGTCCAAAATCTCTCAAGGACTCTCCAGATTGCCGCTTTCTTAGTTTAGCATCTGCTATATAGCGTTCCTTCATAGCAGAATGGCCAAATCGCTGTTCCATCTTTTGTTTAAGTTGTTCGTAATCCTTTTGAACTGCAAGGGGTATCCCGTAGGCAAAACTCTCTGCCTGACCTCTCAGTGTACTCAACAGTACTCGACGAGACTTCTCTGGTCCCCATGAGTTCAACTCAGCAATATTCTCAAAATATTGATTAAATTCATTCCAAACATCATTGTTTGCTCCGGAAAAGGTCCTCCTAACTGGATATTCATTCACCCTCGAACTCATCTCATGTTGTGTCCTCTTTATTGGAGTTGCATCAGCAAACGGCAGTTCTAAGTCATGTCCTATTCCAGGAGAACCTTGACCTACATTAGGGGCGTTAGGCCTCAGATGCCCAACCACGTTAGGTTCCTGATAGGTACCTTTTGGGTTGTTAGATGCCTTGCCACCAAATAAGCCAAAGTTTGATCCCTGATGAATTTCTGTTACCTGGTCATTAGCTTCAGAGATTGTTCCCACATATTTCCATGATACTATTATGATCATTAATAGTATTGCACTTGCAACTGATCCAAGGACAATTGTTGCATTTCTATAAGACTGTCGGACAATTTCATGATATGGAAAATGAGTCCAGGCTATATACATTAAACAACATCCAACCAAAGCAAAAAGAAACCAAATAGAAAGGGCTCTCTTTAAGCTCGGTCTAGACTCATTTTTCTCTCTGTAGACACTCATAGGAAACTCGGATTTTACAGGAGAGCAACCCTGCGAGATACTTGTGGGCCTGCACTCCTGATAATTAGGTGTGCCTGGACCTACTCGACTTGTGGGTAGCGCATCTCCCTCAAACCCTGGTGAGTTCCCAATTCCGGAGTCGTTTAAATGACTTTCAAAATCTTGTTCTACCTTTTTCGGCGTTATCCTTCTCCTAACTATTGGTGTTTCCATCCTGCTCAGTGTAGTCTTAATCCAATATAGCACTTGAATAATTTCAAAGAATCCCACCGCTGCCACCAATTGTAACGCAACTGAGGATAATATAGCTAGCGATTATGTCCAACTCTGCTTCAACCTCAGGCCAGTCACAAAATAATGTGGATCCTGTGCTACTCGCAATATATGCGTAGGGTTACAGATCTTTATAGATCAATGAGAACAACACTTTGCTTTTGTAGAACAAATTGTATTATGGAAATTTACATCAACATGACATCTTGTTAATACAAGAAATAAGGGAGAAGTGCCTAAAACGCATTCTCATACCCTGTTTATATACTTGCTGACAGCCCAATACCGTTAGGCTCCTATTAGGCATCCATTAGGCCTCGTTAGGCTTCTATTAGGCACCCATTAGGCCTCTGTTAGGCTTCTATTAGGCTCCCAAATAATAGGGTCTCCTGCTACCTAACATGATTAGGCCTCCGTTAGGCTCCCATTAGGCATCCATTAGGCCTCCGTTAGGTGTTTGGCACCAAGTAATAGGGCCTCCTACCACCTAACATGAGTAGGCCTCTAAGACACCCAATGTTCTTAGGATACCATTAGGCTACCTATTGCTAGTGATAAGAAAATTTACTACGTAACATTACTGAGTATAAAAGTTTAACTACTGAAATCTAATCCTTTTTAATCTTCACTTTTTTCATTTTTCTTTCAAGTTTGCCAGAATTTTATTATTACAAAAATTGCTAAAAGTTCTTTCAGGTTTAAGTAGCCACTCTGATTAACTTCACTTGACGAATAATATGTTGTTGTCATTGCTCCTAAAATTCTTCCTTCACTGAAGTTCATATTTTCGTGAGGATCAGTTGTAACTGATGTGGAGAGAGAAAGAGATCGGGATCGATATTTCATGTATTATCGGAAAACACTCGGGGTTTTTCGTTGAAAGAGGTGGTATTGAATTGTATTGAAAACAATTTTTGGCGGCTGTTGAAGGTTAAAGACTTAGATCTAAGTAGATAATGCATTTATTTTATGAAACTTTGTTTATAAATATATCACTGTTGTTTGTACAGATAAAATAGCTTTACATCAATTGTAAATCATGCATATTTAAGTAGTTCATTGTTGAGCATTACCTGACAATTAAGACCACGTGTTTTAAATAATACTTTACCAGCTGATTATTTTTGTGCAACTGTAACACCAAATCAGATTCGTTATGGACTTTTGTTTTCTAAATGCTTTTAATATACCTTGCCCTTGTAAAAACAAATTGAATTAAATGGCTATTTTGATGAGGTTATTTGTGAACCACATTATAAGCATATCACAGTTGACTGACAGCACATGCTCTACATTAACACATGTTAATCTCTAAAAGCTTGTGTAAAAACAGTACATAACGAACACACTGTATTAAACAATGGACATTATTTAGAAAAATGGGGGATTTAAAACCTTGACTGGGGGATTGAAATCCTGTATTACAATTTTGCGAGTGTATAACAAAGAATGTTTTGCTAGCCGGGAGGTGACATAACAGTCATATTCTCTTTAATTTACAAATGTATATGGTTGGAACTAAATTAATGGACTTACATTTTCAGAACTCTGGCTTCTATCATAAAAAGCCTTACAGCCATGAAGTATGTGTTAGTGTCGGGCGGGGTGATCAGTGGAATTGGTAAGGGGGTCATCGCCAGCAGTCTGGGTATGATCCTCAAGTCGGGTGGTATCAGGGTAACCTCCATCAAGATTGACCCCTACATCAACATAGACGCCGGAACATTCTCTCCTTATGAACATGGTTTGTTTTCCTCTTAATCAAATGATTATGTTACTTTAAAAATTAAACAAATATTACATGCATGATTTTAAAAATAGCAATAAGAAAACAATATATTGAACATAATTACTTGTCAAAAGTACTTCTTTATCATATGTCCATGCAAATCAATATATGAGTTCCCACATTAATAAGAGCAATATTGTGTAATTGTAATTACGGTAATTGGATATCACAGGCCTGTTTATTCTTATGATTTTGCTGTATTTTGTATGGATTTTTAGTCAAAAATATGTCTTAGTTTCGCTATTATGAAAATATGGGAATCGGAAAAACGTTCGTTTGGAATTCAGCAGCTAGTTTTTGTTATGATCTGACTTTAATTAGTTTCACGCTTTTTAATCGCTAAAAGAAAGAAAATACATAAGTGATGTCGGGTTGCCAAAAGGCTGTGGTATTATAAAATGACAAAGACCCTGTAATCAAAAATACTGAGAGACAACGATATGGGTAAACAGGTCTGGTATCAGTAATCATTATCAATGCCTTGTTTTTAACATACTAGGTGAAGTTTTTGTTCTGGATGATGGTGGCGAGGTTGACCTTGACCTCGGTAACTACGAGAGATTCCTTGACATTACTCTTCACCGTGACAACAACATCACCACAGGCAAAATTTACCAGCATGTTATAAATAGAGAGAGGAGGGGAGACTACCTAGGGAAAACTGTGCAAGGTAAATCTCTTGTCACTTGGAAGCATTAGTGTGTGCATTGAAAATAATAAGTGGGAGGCAGTTGCATGGTACATGTATATCTGTGAGTTGTTCATTGAATTTTTGTTCACTAAGCAACCTTATATTGAGATCCTTGCCAAAGTATCTTTTTCTCTTTAAAATATTAAAGAATCCTTTTGTCATTATGATCACTACTGAATATGTTTTATTTTGTAGTTGTCCCACACATTACTGATGCTGTCCAGGAGTGGGTAGAACGAGTTGCTAAAATACCAGTGGACGGGGATAATAAAACACCAGAAGTTTGTATCGTAGAGGTATGATAAACATCTTCCTCAATTGTTGACATTTTCTTATTTTTCTCTGTGAATGCTTACCTTGCTAGTGTAAACTTTACTTGGTTTTCAACCTACTTCCAAGAATTAGAAGTTAAATCTTTGTGTTTTCTATCTTCCTTTTTAATTTGTGATACTGAATACTTAACTTACTGCTGTAAATGACTTATTTCCAGCTGGGAGGGACTATAGGAGACATAGAGGGTATGCCGTTCATTGAAGCGTTCCGTCAGTTTTTCCATTTCCGGGTCAAGCGGGAGGATTATTGCTGTGTACATGTCAGTCTTGTTCCCCAGGTACAGTATACAGAATTAGTTAATATGGTCTTTATCTTCATCTGGAAATGGATGTATTGTATCTTCTTTATTAAATTTTAATTATAATCTAGCTGAATAAAGTAAAAATGGTTAAGTTTTGTTTCACAGTTATTTATGGAGATTGATTTGATTTCTTCAGCCAGGAACTACAGGAGAACAAAAAACCAAGCCAACCCAACAAAGTGTGAGAGAGCTGAGAGGTTTAGGTCTCTCTCCAGATTTAGTAAGTCAATATATGCAGTTCCATTACTTATAGATAAATAGTGGCTAGTTATACACTACAATGGTAATCACAATTGCAGATAAATATGGGTTAACGTTATCCTGATTCAATTGTTATATATCCTTGTGAAGTTCACAGCATCATCATATGTATATTTGAGAATAGCTCAAAAAAAGAATCTTATACTGAACATTTTGACACTGATAAGATATGATATAATTTGAGTTAAATGCTTATTCCAGTATTTGGTTTTTCTTGTGTTTTACTGTTAAGTATTTTTGCAGATTGTGTGCCGATGTCAGAGTCCTGTAGCAGAAAGTGTTAAATCTAAAATCTCCCTGTTTTGTCATGTGGAACCTCAACAGGTATGTAAACTGTGTATGATAAAGCTATATCACATGTTAAATAATTTAGAACCTCAATAGGTATGATAAAAATGGTGTGTCTCTTGTGAAAATATTCAAAACTGCAACAATTATGATAAAACTGTCACATGCATCCCTGACATTTTTCCTCTTAAATATTCATTAGTCAAAATCATCTTCATGACTTCAGAAGTTGAAGTTGAATTCAATTTTAAAGCTGTATTGGCATACATTAGTAAACTGCTTATTTTGAACCAGGAATTGTTTTTCCTCTGTTTTGCATCACAAATACTTGTTTTGTAGGTATTTTCAATACATGATGTGTCTTCTATATACCGAGTCCCCCTACTGCTCACAGAACAGGGTGTGTCTGAGTACCTCATGAAGCGGCTCCAACTCAAGTACCCCTCCCCACACAATAACCGCTGGATGTTACGGTGGAAAGACCTCGCCAAAAGGTTGAGGCCTTAGAGTTTTAAGCCCTATTAAAGATGAAAATTGAAGAATTTAACACTAACCCTGTATTTATTGATAAACTATGGTTTTGCTAATTTTCATTGGGATCTAACTTTGTGGTTCTGGAAAAAAATAATTTCAATGATATGTGTATTTGTGGACAGCTGAATGTCAGAGTATAGAATAATTTATAGATAAGAAAAAATGTTTAATTTCTTGATCATGTAATGTTGCTATCTGGCTCAACCTTAAACATTGAAAATTGGTGTTAAAAAAACTTTTTGAAACCACTGCAAAAGTCAAAATGCTGTTTAAAACATACAGCAAAAGAAATTTAAATGTACAGCTTTTTAACAGAGGATTTCATTAGTAATAATCCTTTAATTGTGAATTATATTGAATAATTCTTTCATTGTTTCAGACATGATCAACTGTTGAGGGAGGTAACCATTGCTTTAGTGGGTAAATACACCCAGTTAGAAGATGCCTATGCTTCTGTCATCAAGGCTCTACAACACAGCGCTCTGTGTGTCAGCCACAGACTTAACCTCAGGGTAACTAAACAGGCCTGGGGGCCATAGAGTGAGACTGAGATCAAAAGTGAGCTCGTCTAAGTTTTATGACACCCAGGCCAGCTCATTCAAGTTTTTTATTGACTTTGAGCTTTACAACAATCATACAAGTGTATTTATGAATTTTTTTATGACACCCAGGCCAGCTCATTCAAGTTTTTTATTGACTTTGAGCTTTACAACATTCATACTAGTGTATTTATTAATTGTACAGAGAATAACATAAGCATGTAGAGGTTTTTAACTTCTATATTTGATCTAATCTGACTTCTAAAGTCTTTAACCAAAAACCTGTAGGCTTTTGTAAGTTACATTCAAAGTAATTTGCTATAATAGATGATAAAACAGTTACATTTTTGTTTCAGTATATAGAAGCAGCAGACCTGGAGATGGACATGCTGAAACAAAATCCCTCCAAGTACCACGAAGCCTGGCATCAACTGGTGTCTGCAGAGTACGTATAATACTCAGCACTGCATGATTATGACAGGCTTAATGTAGAAGTGTTAATAAGCAATGTTAAATCATTTACTCTCTGTAAGACATTGAAAAACTGAAGACCTTTTGAAAACCCTAAAATATTAATGGTTTGCATACAATTTTTCCTTTAAAAATGTACTAAAGTGGGGAAAATAATTGTAAAAAATGAGGTAAAAACAGTGTGATTGTGAATGACTTACAGGTATTTTTCAAGGGGTATTTTCATTGTAATATATTTTTGTCCTTGACAGTGGTATACTTGTGCCAGGTGGATTTGGAATCAGAGGGACAGAGGGGAAAATACTGGCAGCCAACTGGGCAAGAACAAAAAATATACCCTTCTTGGGTATGAATAAATTTTAATAAATTATTAATTGAATAATAAAAAAAAAAAACATTCAAGGAAGAATGATCCTTCATTTTAATGGTACTTGTCAGTAAAAATGGAAGTTCTGTAAGAGATCTATATAACTCAGAACAAATTTTTTGTTCATATATTCTTTGCTAGAGTAGTCTCCCTTTGCAGAGGACATCCTTTTAATGTATTGACATATACAAGAAATATTTATATAGCACCGCATCAGATGATATATTTATATCTTGGTTGTTTTCAGGAGTGTGCCTTGGGTTGCAGTGTGCTGTGATTGAGTTTGCTCGTAATGCACTCGGCTGGGAGGGGGCTCATTCCACAGAACTGGATCCTGCCACTAAATACCCTGTGGTAATTAGTTTACACTTTACACTGATTTAAGGGAGGGACATCAAGCCCCCCCCAGACAAAATCAGTGCACTTATATCTTGCTTAAAATAAGATATTTATGCCCCTCTTCGAAGAAGGGAGGGCATATTGCTTTGCTGTTGTCTGTCGGTCGGTGTGTCGGTCCACTTAGTTTCCATTCATTTTCTTCACAACCATTGCACATACTGAAATGAAATGTAGTATGCAGATATATCAGATGAATATCTAGGCCAAGTTCTGTTTTGGGTACGATTGCGCCATTTTTGACAGAGTTATGCCCTTTGGACTTAGAAAAATTTCATTTATTTGCAGTTTCCGTTCATTTTCTTCGCAGAGGTAGAACATACTGAAATGAAATTTTGTATACAGAATTATAAGATAAATATCTGTAGGTCAGTTTTGTTTTGGGTACTATAGCGCCATTTTTGACAGAGTTATGCCCCTTGGACTTAGAAAAATTCCAATTATATGCAGTTTCCAGTCATTTTCTTCGCAGAGGCTGCACATACTGAAATGAAATTTAGTATATAGATTTATCAGAAAAATGTCTAGGTCAAGTTGTGTTTTTGGTAGGATCTCACCATTTTTGACAGAGTTATGCCCTTTTGGACTTTGAAAAATTTCAATTTGGGGGGGAGGGGGGGGGGGGCATAAGTGTTTTACAAACATCTTTTGTTCATGTCTGTCATTTGTCTTGTAGAGGTTAAACTTTGTACAGATATCGTACAAAATTTACATGCACCTTGAAGCATTGTTCTATAATACACATTCACAAAGCTTGTTACAATATTTACTTATTTCACGACTTTGTATTGAGATGTACACTCATAGATCATATTGTATTGAAAGACACTAGATTCTGTGACATTTTACACAATATATCATTACACATCAATCTTGTCGTATTAGTACATGTTAAGTATAACACTTTGTCTGCTTTGATTGAGGGTGGAGTTATTGGTCATTAAGATCATTTATACAACAGGTAATTGACATGCCAGAACACAATACAGGACAGATGGGCGGAACCATGAGACTAGGAAAACGCAAGACTCTCTTCAATGCCAAGACCTGTATAACAAGTAGGAGTTTCATCATTAAATTATGTTAATTTAACAGTGATTTGAAAAGGAAAGATTATAGGTAGCATTTTAAGGATATTTTCATATTTTGATAAGTTAAAAAAAAATGTTTTAAGCTTGACATTCTTTGTAATCTTCAAAGCATTTTATTATATAAAAATTAGATACATGCATTTACTTGTTGCAGAAAAGTTGTATGGAAATAAAGAATATGTTGAAGAGAGACATAGACACAGATATGAGGTAAATATGTCATTATCATTGTGAAGACTTCATTTACGGATGTGACCGTTGGAAGGGAATGCTCATTCCTCCAATGCACCTAATCCCACCTCTGATGTTTTAGAGGCCCAGAAAAGATAATGTGTTGCTACAACATATGATAATAACCTTTTCCATTATTTTAATTCAGGTAAACCCTAAGTACATACAGACCTTTGAAGATGCTGGGATGAAGTTTGTTGGTCGCAGTGTGGATGGAGAGAGAATGGAAATTATGGAATTAGATGGTAACATTGTTTTCACATTCTTACTTTCTTACCTGCTTTCAGGTGTTTTACTTGAAATATATGTAAAATTGTTAAATATTGTTATAAATTCGTAAATTTGATATATGTAAAATATGTTTGTATTTAATCCTTTGACAAGTCAATGATGCAGTACATGTATTAAAAACATCTGTTGTAATTTACCAGTATATCATTTTGTTCCCCATATAGTAATGTGCTACATACACTTACTGTAAGTTATGAGCTTTATTGTGAGTTACCTCCCATATACAGGTCACCAGTACTTTGTTGGGGTCCAGTATCACCCTGAGTATATTTCCCGCCCCATGAAGCCCTCTCCCCCATACCTTGGCCTCCTGCTTGCTGCCACGGGAAAGATGCAGGCGTACCGAACACGAGGGTACAGACTGTCCCCCCACTTATCCTACAGTGAGGGAAACGACTCGGAGGACGAGGAAATATCAGAAATTGTCAAGAATCTCAGTACAGAGGATGCATTCGAAGTCTCAGCCAATCAAACGAGCACCAGTGAACAATCTTAGTCATGTGTGTCAATAGCCATATCACGATAGTTTCCAAGTAATAATTTACATTCCCTTCATTGTCCTGGCATTATTTATGCTGATGAGCCTATATCATGTTGTTATTAGGTTCTAAAAGAGTTTTTTTTATAATTTTATAATGTAAATCACCATAAGACATGTTTGAATTATACTCACTTCATTGAAGGGTAAATAGAATGTGATTAAAGCAGAATGCAGCTGTTATGTGAAAACTTTTAGGCACACTGTTTATGTGCAAGAATTTTCATATCAAATCAAAGAGGTGAAATTATAAAGTCTGCATACTAAATATATGAAAGGTCTGAAAAAATATAGATAGAACAACCTGAGCTGCCCCTAATGGTTTTCTAAAGGCATTACTGTATATTGTCATAATTGGTGCACAAAGTGCTATTTTGTTTTGTTTTGTTCTGTTTTAATTAGGTGTAGCATGCTTAATATTATTAGTCTTGGAACACATTATTTAGTATTTATGTCATATACATGTACATGCATACTGACATATCACATTCGACTGGATCTGTTTTTCTACAGGAATAATATAGGAAATTGTAGGTTCAGATGATTTGGTATGAACACTGCACACGAGCTTTTGGCAAGTAATTTGTTGTACAGCGATTTATACCGTGAGCATTAGGTACAAACTTACTGTAATGTAGGTATATGTACATGTACTAGTTTTGAAATAAGCTTTTTGAAGTGCATTTATTTGGGCATTATTTTAAAGAGATTAAAAACATTTTTTTTGCACCATATATCAAAATTCTCATTTATAAATACTTAATATTCTCCAGAAATAAATTTTACATACATGTGGAATAAAAAAAATACTGTTTAAAATGAAAAAAAAAACATACAGTACAGTTCATATTCAAAATGCATTTAAATGTTTACGGGTAGTTAGACCTTTATGTCATATCAGGTTTTGTGCTTCATCATAATACTATCCAGGATTCTTCTGTATTGTCATATACATATAAATTTTTTGTTGGATTTATAGTGTGATGTACACCATTCATTTAAATGTTGTCATATACTTAATCTGACCGTCAATTTCAATTTCATATACCCGAGAAAATTATTATCAATAATTTCCTGAAAAGCACCATTTGGGAAATCAAATCACTGGCTTTTATATTTTCGTTTGCTTAAAATTCCATGCTAAAACTTTGGAAGAAAGTCCAATTGGTAAGTCATGATCAATCGATTTGACGTCTGCAAATCATTTTGTATTATCAAGTTAAATAAATTTACAGTAGTCTGCAAATGCACATTGTAATATTCTTAGGCATCTCCACAAGAATTGTTTCCCTAGGCCTCCTACAAATATTATACATGTATTCTTATGTGTTCTTTTGAAGTGTACCTTTGTTTTATAATGGTATTTATTTGATAAAAATGTGCATTTATGTTCATTTGTAAATATTAGGTACTAGGTTTAAAATATGCTGCACTTTTCAGAAGTCCTTGATGTTTGCAGATATTATTTTAATGTTTAAAAGAAAACACATTTTTATATTTTTTCTCTTCTGTTAAATGAGCTACTTAAAAGTAATGCCTTAACGTAAGGGTTTTAATTTAAGTGAAAAAATGAAGGGAGAAAAACTTCAACTTTAAAAAATTATGTCTCAATGAATTGTCATTATGTTAGTTGTTGAAAATAAAAAAGTAAAATAATTTATTCTTCCTCATCTGTGACAAATGTATGATGAGTCAGTTCTCTTGTAAGCAGGAGGATACAACTCAACTCTAGCCTGAGGAAACCAATTTTTGACTGTAAAATCTCTGAAGTAAGTTTAAGGTTTTAAGTTTGATGCATGGATAGTCTACACATCATATCAATAGCACATGGATCCTGACCGGACCTCAAGCTGAGGGTCAGATATTCAGATTGAAAGATGTAGGAATTATCACTATTCTCGAAAGACAGACAGATGTCTGAAACTTTTATTCAGAAGTAAACTTTACGTAGCACAGTTAAACTAAAAATAAGCAACAATAATCTGCTAGCCAAATTTATTTCATTATACAGATTTCATAAGCCACAAACTAGAATTACACATTGTAGGAAGTAATCCAAACATGTACAGACTAGATGAAGATATTATTTTTTGAAGACATTTAAACATAAGTATTCTAAATCAATTTTTTAAACATTTTGTCGTCTATTAACAAGTCTTGTTGCCTAGCATATGTCTGTAACTTGGAACATGCTTATATATACATGTATACATTAGTACCTAAAGCTAGACATACTTATATATCTCAGAACAAACTTGGGGATAATTTTTAACAAGATTGGATATACAGTACTTGTACACTGTATAATTGTCAACAAATAGATGGAATCTAAAATCAAAACACACAAGGGGACCTTTATAAAACATAAATATACATCTAAATGGATTCATATTACTGGTAATAAGATCACAAAGTAATACTGGATATGTTTCTCAATATGAAACATTTTAATAAGTTGTGAGAAAAAATGTTATGTACATGTATATCATCTTCATTAGTAAACACACAGATCTACTGATTTGGAAATGATTATGCATACAATGAAAACTAAGAAAGATGTTATAGTTCATGAATATTATATGTAAACATAAGCTATTTATCTGTAAAAGATTTTACTATACAGTAGTTTCCATACAACAGCTTACAAAGTCTTTCAACCTAAAAATCAAGGTGTCTACACTTGAACTGATTGACTGTTTAGTTTTATTAAGATATTCTAGAGGATTTTTTCATAACTCTTTTTTTTCATGACAAGGAGCACATGGTGGTGGGTGTGACTGGTAGAGAAAGGATGCTCACTCCTCCATGGCACCTAATCTCACCTCTGATCTTTTCAGAAGTCCATGTTTGGTCTCTTCCCAATTTGTTTTGTTTCTACGGATTTTAAGTTTGATAACTGTTTGTCTATATTTCATACATAGTGGGAAGGCAAAAGTTTCCAAACACTGATCTCCAGCCAGGAGCAGCTGCCAATATTTGACTTGTACAGGTGATAAAGCTTATAAAATGTATAGATGTGTACTAGAAGGGGCATAAATACAACAATCTTCACAAGAAACTCAAAACAGTTGTAAACATAAAATTGTAAAATTCAAGTAGATATGACCCTACTACCAACAATAAAATTACATATTATCATATTGTAAAACAAATAAATGTACAACAACATGCACTCATACATATATAAAATATGAGAATCTTATAACAATACCAATATAAACAAGAACATTAATACCTGATTGTTCAATGATTATTGATTGTTAAATTGTAGAATCTAAAAAATATAGCCCTAGAATAATACATAGCACTACTTTTTGGACGGGCCATTATGCTGTTGTTTGGAAGTCACCCGATAGTCATTCAATGTCTATAACTAATTAGCAAAAATGTCTCCCATGGGGATCCAGATGTTTTTGACCTGTACTGAGTGATACAGAAACTCCTCCCCCTGACCTTGTTCTGGGTCAGTCCAGTCCCGCACCAGGCCGTAATTCACCCATGTTCTCTTGACATTCTCAGCGGATGTGAACTCTACGAACTTTGACCCCTCCGCTGACCCAAAGTACCACAGTGACTGGACGTCCTGATGTTCTGTTAAGTACTTGGTCAAGTGGTCTCTGTCACCGGTCAGGATGTTGACCACACCTCCAGGTAGGTCTGATGTATCAAACACCTGTAGAGGAAATGTACATACAGGTTAATGTTGACTTTAACTACTGATACACAACTATAAAGAACACTCAGGTCGACTCTGTACATGTGAATAATTTACTTGTTCAAGGTAATTATAGTAAACCAACTATTAATTTTGACGTCTTTTCTTCATGATTCGTTAGTTCGAAATCAATAGATCTGTGATGATTAAACAATGAAACATTCTCTACAAAAACTAAGCAAAACGATTGGTTTAGGCAATTAATATTCCTATCAAAAGCTGGTCGCTGAACATGTGGATATAATTTTTACCGCCAAAAATGTTGGTTTACCTGATTTTTTTTTTTGAATAAGTGTATGGATTGAAATTATTCATTCTGTGTAAGAGTTTTCTACAACTAATAGTCAGAGAGACTCAGATGTTTCAAAATTACCTGATATAAATCTAATGCTGACAAGGGGTATTTTTGACTAGGAATGATCACCATGGTGTTGCCCCTGACAACAGCTGGTGCAAAAAGGGAGATAAATCCGAGTAGAGGAAACTCTTCAGGACAGGCTATTCCAATCACCCCCACCGGCTCATGGATCTTCACAGTGGCTCCATATAGAGTCGTTTCCTGTGAAGAAAAAGTAAAGGAAAATAAAACTTCTATAAAATAAGTAAAAGCATTTTCACTGAAACACAAATTAACATTGTTTTCATTGTTAAGCCAAACCATGAAATTCGGAAATCAATCAACTGCAAATTCTCTAAAGGATAAGAAAGGAATTATTAAGACATAAATTTCAACAAATACATATTTGTTATTATACATCTAAAAAAACATTGATATTTCAACAATACCATGAAATGTTATCCTCATGTAAATTAATTAAATCCAAGTAAATAAACAACCTACCTGCACTCCTCCCCCGTATTTATCACAGTAAGCTCCCCAGTGAAATAGACGCTGTACAGACAGATCCACCTCTGTCAGGCAGTCCTCTAACTTACGCCCCGTCATCTGCTGGATCCTCCCCGCTATTTCCTCTCGTCTGATCTCCAGGTTTTCTGCCATGTAGTACACTATCTGGGCCCGGTTGTGTGCTGCTCTCTTTCCCCAGCTAAATTAGAATAAACAGATCACAGAGGGTTAGGTTTGAGATTCTGATACAAAACATTGATTTCATTGAGAGTTTTTTACAATGTGATGTTATTTATCTTTATATTCATAAAGCCAGTCCATGCTGGAAAGTAAGAAATATATTCATATAAACATGTATGTCTGAAGTACATGTATGAAAGTTGCTCTGTTTATAGCAAGCAACATTTACTTGTTGTCAAATAGTTACTACAGCAAAACCTGGTTGCAACAATATTTGTGAGAAGTTAATATATTCTGTAAGTGTGTATTTAACTTTCAATTGGAATATTGACTGATTTTTAAGAAAAACTACTTGCCATGGATAGCTAAGTATCAAATTTTGTAGGTATTAAAAATTATTTCTCGCAAGAAATATCCAAAGTTCACAAAAATCATATCTCATTTATGTACATGTATTTCGTTTCTTGTACCAACATACCCAGGAGCAGCAGCATGAGCAACTTCCACTGCATTTCTGACATCCTTACGATTTCCCTCCCCCACGTGACCTATGACCTTTCCCTCTGGGTTTATCACAGGTCTTACATACGGGGCATCTGGTCTCTTCTGACCTCCACCGTAGTACATCTTAAATGTTCTGTCTATGCTGTGTAACAAAATTAATATCATAGTAAATGATTCATGTATATTCATAAACCTATATGTATTTACATAAACTTTTGAGACCTTCAATTTTTCTTTTTAAATGAAATCGTGAAAAGTTGCCTCTTTCAAATGTGATTTACCTTGGCATGGTCACTCCATTGACTTTGATTTGTTTGTTGTCAACATTCTCAAAAGTGGGTCTTTGTGGGAGTGTAGCCCTGAAGTTTTTCAAATCCATCTCCACTTTTCCTGGCCTTGGTCTATCTTCCCACGCAGGACGAACATACTCAAACAGTCCCTGTAGATTTTTTTAAATTTATTCATATAACTTTGAAAGCCATAACTCTTATCAATACAGTAATCATATCTATAAATCAACTGACAAAATTGAAAATTTTGTAAAAACACTGGTAAGCACTTAACTTGATCTTCAGTTTTGTTTGTTTAACTCATTTTTCATGAAGAAACTAAGATATAAAATGTTCATGTATGATATTCATTTTTATATCCGTTGACAAATCTGACAGAATGTTTGTGTAATGCTTCAAACTTCTAGTGTAATTTCCCCGCTCCCTAAACAAATCTTAAATACAGTTTCTCTGACCTCCTTTCCACCATCACGACCAAATCCACTCTGCTTGTATCCACCAAACCCGGCCGCTGCATCAAACATGTTGTGGCAGTTAATCCACACAGTGCCCGCCTTAATACCCAGGGCCACCTCCAGGGCCAAGGGCACATTCTCTGTCCACACACTCCCACCCAGGCCATAGATAGTGTTGTTAGAGATGGACAGGGCCTCCTTGGCAGTTCTGAAAGGCAGGACCACAAGGACAGGGCCAAATATCTGTTAATGGAGTGAGAGGACTATTGCATTGCATCATTTCATGAAGAATTACATAACGAATATTTCACTTGATTAACCTATATTATTATACTAGCTGAGTGTCTTTTTGCGTTATTCACAGTACCATTAAAATCTTAAGCAATGCAACTACTGAATAAAATCAATAAAGCTTTTTGCTGCTTTAATGGTGAAAGGGGGAGAAAGCAAGCCTCACCTCTTCTGCTACGACTCTGGACACTGTCTGTACATTTGTTATCATTGTGGGAGGGTAGAAACAGCCTCCACTGGGAACACTGTCCTTTATCTGGAACACCTGGAAATGAGAGGTCAAACTTTAGCAGATGACAGACAGCATTACCTATCTAAATGAAGATAATTTCATTTAAATTGATCATAGCAAGTCAGAAAAGGATTCATCAGAATATGTATAAAATGTAGTGATCAAGACAGAATAGACATTCTGTATCTTAGTTTAGCCTTGAATATCATTTAAAGTTTATTCTTTAGTTAAGTTTTCCTAGTCACATGCTGACACATCATAAATTTTTAAGATCCATCCCTTTGTTTTACCTCTGCCCCCTCCTTTCTGGCCTCCTCCACATATTCCTCTATGGTCTTCCTCTGACTTTCGTCCACTATGGCCCCCATGTCCACAGCTTTATCCAGACTGTTCCCAACACGGAAGTGGGTCAGCCTCTCTTTCAGTTTATTCACCATTTTTTCATAAACTGATTCCTGGACCAAAAGCTTTGAACCTGCACTGCAGACCTAAACATATAAATGGGGACTAATGATGATATGAATTTAATGTACATGAAGTACATGAAGATGCACATGTACCTCGTTTTCATAATTCATGTATGTGTACTGCTGTAAAGATAGAAACCTATTAATGAAAGTAATTTACATAATAAATGTTAAATTTGACCTTCAAGTATTTTCACATAAATTGTCTGTTTTGACAAACTTCTCACCTGTCCTTGGTTAAACCAGATGGCATCCACCACTCCCTCCACAGCACTGTCTAAATCCGCCGTCTCAAACACCACCACTGGCGACTTCCCTCCCAGCTCCAACGACAATTTCTTACCACTTCCTGCCGTTAGGCGACGCAGAGTCTGTCCAACCTACGGGAAAAGTTAATTTCAAAAATAGGAACCAAATTTAGTCATAAATAGTTGATAATAAATTTGAAATATCTTTAAATTTTAATATCACTTCTCTTAAAAAGCAGTAGAGATAATGAACAGTTATACCTCTAAGGATAAATGTACTGAACAATTGATCAATGCAGCTCATAAACATGTAATACCCAAGTTTTACATAAACTAAATTTTACACTATCATGTTCTCAAAGATACATTTTACATAACTACGTTAAACTACTAACCCCAGTTGACCCAGTAAAGGCCACTTTATCCACAGAGGGATGGTCAGCTAACATACTGCCCATAGCACCACTACCAGTAACAACATTGAACACACCGTGTGGAAGTCCCGCCTCCGCACAAACTTCAGCCAATAGGAGAGCAGAGAGGCGGGTATAGGTAGCAGGCTTCAGTACCACTGTGTTACCCATGGCAAGGGCTGGAGCTATCTTCCACGTCAGTAACATTAATGGGAAGTTCCATGGCACAATGGCACCAATTACACCTACAGTGTTATAGCATATTAAATATACACACATTGGATCACACATAGGGAAAAAAGTTAAACATTCCAATCCATGAACATAACATCAAGCAAACATGCTTCCTTAATTGTTACTCATTTTGAGTCATGATCAAAGTAAGTACTTAAGTTGCAACCAGTCAACAGGGGATACTTTCTCCTCCTAGGCATCTGATCTCACCTCTAGAATTTCCAAGGGTCCATTTATATGACTTTATGTATGTATTGTTATGAACTTTTTGAGATTGATCACTGTGCGCTATCTATACTTTTTACATTGCAATAACTGGTGCATATAGTCAGTAAAGACAAGTAAACTAGATTCTCCTGCTCTTCCTCTATAAGGAGCAACCTTACATGTAATTTGTATATGCATAACTTTCTCTCATCTGTCTCCAAAAAATCATAGATGTTTTTTTGCTAGAATTCCAGTGATAAGAGAGAAGAATATAGAGACAGAGGTCAAACTTAAGAACAATGGCTAGGGACACTGACCTGACAAACTCCTTACCGACAGATTTCCACCCTCTCATTTCTGTGTCCATCAGCTGGGCCCAGCCAGCGTGATGGTAGAAATGTCTGACCACAATAGGTATATCAGCATCCCTGGTCTCTCGGATAGTTTTACCATTGTCCATCGCCTCAAGGACACTGAATAAACGCATGTGTTTCTGGATGTGTCTGGCAATGCTGAAATTGACATAAAATATACATTAGTGACTATGAATTTAAGCATCTAAAGTAAATGCTTTCAAATCTGCTTACCTTTGGAAGGAAATCAATAACTGTGAAATCACTAATTTTTGTGTGAGGTTAATTTTTGTTGTCTTGGGGGTATGGAGAGATCGATCCACAAATTTATGACCACCACAAAATGTAGAATTTCATACGCATAACTACTAAACATTTTCAAACCACGAAATCAAATTCCCACAAACCAATCTTTTCCCTCAAACCTCAAAAATTTGACCCTTGAAAACACTGTGACTTTACTATCCTTTATACCTGTATAGGTGTCTTGCTCTGACATGGGGCGAGGTATTGCTCCAGCTTTGGTAAGCTTTCTCAGCACCCTTGACAGCCAGCTCTACGTCTGGCTTCTCTGCTTGAGTGGTCCATGCCAACTCTTCACCTGTTATAAAAGTCATTTGATTTTCAGTGAATGATAAAGGTATTAATAACATTTTTTTTTCTTGCCTTTTCTTGTACTAACCTGTTGCAGGGTTCTTTGTTAAATACTTCTTTCTGCCATCTGGTTTCACCCATTTCCCATCAATAAAAAGTCCAAAGTCTTTATTATGGTCATCTAACCAAGCCTGTTAAATGTATATTCTGATAATTCAGTAATCCAAGGCACATGAAAAGAAAAGATTCTGAATAATGTGCAAATTTAAGGCAGGTACCATCTTTTTTTTTTATAACTTCTTAAAATAAAACTTATACAAAAGAGAGAGATATAAACATAACTTTTCTTTGTCTTTATTACGGGTACTACTAAACAGAGTACGCTAGAGTACGATAGAGAACTTTAGATTACGCTAGAAAAATTGTGTTATTTAATGCAATAAAATTGTTTATTTATGTATGTACAACTTCATAACATTATTATCAACTTATATTGCAATATTTGTTTCAAATATTTGTTTTTAGCGATATTTTGACAAGAAAATAACATTCATGATTCAAATGATAAACCACTGTAACCTAGCTGAAATCAAAAATGGGAAATAACTCCTAAAATAAGGAAAACATGCAAATTTTATTTCAAATATATAATATATCCAACATGTTCAGTATGTTAAACTGAGGTAGAAAAACATACAAAAAGCAGTTTAAAGCTATATATGCCGTATTAGTGTTTTATTTTAAAAGTAATAAATATATGTGGTGTCTCATCAAGTTATATAAGTTATATACTTTCTGCAAATAAGACAATTCCACTCCATCACTTTTAAAAGTTATGAAATATTATTTGGTAAAAATTATTTTCTCTCCGTGTCGGATAAAAAACCGCCTCTTATTGAAATATTCATGATCACGAGGTCTCGCATGTTCACAGCAAACAATGGTCCAATTTCGTGAATGAACCGAAAAGCATGATGGTCTACTACGTTTTTACAACAAACACGTGAGTTTAGGATTGTCAATACATGAGTGCACCTCAGAGTTGGTTGCTTTTTGTACCGAGGAATAATCACGTGCAATTGTCTTTTCAATGGACATTTTCGGTTGGGCGAAATTCTACAGCTGTCAGCGACTATGGATAAAAAAGTCTGGAAACCTTCTTGTGCCAAAATGAAATAACTAATACAAACAAATGATATAATTTGATCAATCAAAATAGTTATTAGATACATTCGATTCTGCATTTCTTAATGGTTCAAAACAAAAAAAAAAGTATTCCACAGAATATCATGTATAAATCTGCACAATATACCAAATGCCAAAACCAGAATATTACTAAATAATATAATTATATTCTTTACATATGAACCACAGTATTTCTGACCCGACCCCTTGAAAATAATATAAAAAATCTTGCAAGTAGGTTATCAGCATTGGCTCGGGCTAATTCGAAATTGAAATTTGGAGTTTGGCAGTAAATTGTAGTGAATGAATAAAAGAACTATATGCGGTATATTGCATATATTTGCCCCCACAAAAGTGAAATTTTGAAAACTTCCTGAAGTGTACTGAATTCTATAAATTGTATGAGAAATATAAATTAACAGAAAATATTATAGTGTCAAAGCAGTGTATTCACAATTTTTGTTTTTATGACGTCACAAACTAGTCCGATTTTATATCCTTTTTCAGAAAGAGGACAAAATGGAAAAAATTTCAACAATTTTAGCTTTAAAATTTATAGAGCGCAAGTTTGTTCAGGAACAATATTGATATATTTCATTGATATTATCATTCTACACATTATATCAAAATATTGATCCTGAACACACATGCGCTCGGTGACTTTTACTCAAAATATCGACGAAATATGTACATTTTTCTGTAAAATTCATAAAAAACTGAAATTTACGTCATGTTTGTGACGTCATTACGTACATATGGCGTCATTACTTATGAAAATATTCAGTGCTTTGAAGTCGGCATATACTCCCCTGTTTAAGAACTTAATTAAATATATCTCAATCAAAGTTTAATTTGGGGGGGCAAATATTGGTTATTATCGAATAAAGTTCTTTAGTAGTGAAAGATATTGGAACCTATTTTACTTGTCAGATTTCTTCGAGCTAGTTGATTTTTATTCTAACTGTTCTATCCCCCCACCCACTTAAAAAAAAAACCGATGCTACCTACTTGAATTAATTTTTCTTAATGGTGTTCATCGAAATGCTTGGTTGTGCCCTCAAACTGGAATCGTTTTTAGAGGCCTGGAATTCCTTGCCCAATTTTATTTTATTAGCCCAACTATATTTCTAAGAAGGCAAGATGTATGGTATGTAAATTTCATCTACATATGTTATGTAGTTCATATTAAACAACATGTGTTTGTGAAACACCGATGCCCCCGTATGGCAACATAGCGAAGGAAGAGCTATCTCAAATGCAGATCAAATATGTTGGTACCAAAGTAAGGCCTTTTCACAAGAAATAATGCGGAATATAAAACGCTAGCTACACCTGTTCCAGGGTTATGACCAAGGTTTACATTTTATAATATGGGACAAACTCCGTTTCAAGGTCAAAGGGTCAAGGTTGTTGGGTTCTAAAGAAAGGCTTTGTCTCAAAGATTACGTATGGGAAGTATGAAAGCGCTGTCCCTTACCGTTCAAAAGTTATGGTCAAGGTTAAAGTTTGTAAAAAGGAAGTCTAACTCCAAGGTCAAGGTCAAAGGGTCAAGATTCTTGATCTCCAATGAAAGGTCTTGTCACAAGAATTACACATGTGAAATATGAAAGCTCTAGCCCCTACTGTTCAAAAGTTATGGTCAAGGTTAAAGTTTGTAGAAAGTAAGTCAAACTCCAAGGTCAAGGTCATAGGATCAAGATTCTTGATATCAAATGAAAGGTCTTTTCACAAGGAATACACCTGTGAAATAGGAAAGCCATAGTCACACCCAGTAAAAAGTTATAGGCAAGGTTAAAGTTTTATGCGGACAAACCGAGAGACAGACAGAGAGACAGACAGACGGACGGACACGACAAAAACTATATGCCTCCGAAACTTCGTTTACGGGGGCATAAAAACCAAAAGGGATAATTGACGATATCCCATTCATAAACATAGCAGTTTAAATTACTTTCCATACATTGTACTTGACATAAAATATTTTTTGCGCATAATGCGCTCCGTACTGAAGATCCGTAAATGTTCACCCAACCGAAAATGTCCACTAGCAGTACAGCACGGGGAAACTCTAAACAAACGGACCTGTACAATGGAGTGGGGAAAACTTTAATTTTCATCATTGTTAATCATTTCTATGCAAATATGAGCATGGGATTAGTAGATAATAATGTACATAATGCATCAAGTCTTTCTGAGAGCGATCTAAAAAACTAGCCTTTTTGAAAAACACATGTAATATTTTGTAGTAACCCATAAATGCATTAAATGCAACTCATTGAGCTGATTGGTCTATTTGTGTCCCTCACTGAACAGACGTCACAAAAAATATTTTCCTCGACCTGATGATTCTCGCGATGCTTTTCCCGCGCACATGCGCAGATCCAGGATAAATGTCAGTCCTTTATAAATATGCATGAGAATATCGTGTTCTTTTCCTGACCAGTACTTTGTTAATACCGAATAAAATTTCGTCGAATTTGCAAGAATGCTTCATTTTTGGTAGCTTATCATACTCCAGAAATTTTTGTTCGGTTTCAGCTGTGCAAAAATACTGTTTAACACGGCATACATATCTTCAATCATGTAAATTGCATTAAATTATAAAATATTACAAGCGTACTCTAAAGTACTCTATCGTACTACTGTACTCTATTTAGTAGGGCCACTTTATTACCCACAAGTATTTCTTTTAACTGCCTGATCGCATTTCAAAAACTAATGTATTAAAATGATAACTTTTATGTGGCATCAGAAGGTCATTGGTGAATTCTGACCGACTGCATAAAATCGAGGTTGGCATTTACAGCTGTAAATGTAATGTTGTTTATACAAAATTAGCAGTCTGAAACCTTTAACGTTTCTTTACTTGGCAGGTTTCCCATTTCGAAGATAAAACATTTCCTAACATTGTACATGGTAGGCATATATAAACGTCGCTGTTTCATGACAATGTGTTATTATGATAAAATCAGAGAATGCAATGAAATTTCGTCATATTGGCATTATCCTGTTATTAGCATCGCGATGCTAATAATTTTTGACGTTATTTTACGTAACGTCAGAAGCGTTAAATGAGTTAATATTTTAACATTGAATGATTTTAAATTGTTGGAAGTAAAATTTAGAGGAAAAAATAATTTAAATACCACCAAACTAATTCGCACCGCGATGCTAATAACAGGAGTATATATAGAGAGACGACGTTTCTAATTATCAAGATTATAAGCTCCACAAAGGGAAGTATTCCCGGGAAAAGGGTTTCTTTGGGGGATACCATAAAAAAAACTGGGGCTTGGCTTTTTTGGGGGGATCACTCTTAAAATGACACGTTTTAATGAACAAAATACCTCCAAACTAATTAGCATCGCGATGCCAATAACAGGAGTATATATAGAGAGACGAGGGACATTTAAATGCCTGAAAACTAATTCGCACCGCGATGCTAATAACAGGAGTATATATAGAGAGACGACGTTTCCAACTATCAAGATTAAAAGCTCCACAAAGGGAAGTATTCCCGGGAAAAGGGTTTCTTTGGGGGATACCATCAGAAAAAAATGGGGCTTGGCTTTTTTGGGGGGATCACTCTTAAAATGACACGTTTTAATGAACAAAATACCTCCAAAGTAATTAGCATCGCGATGCCAATAACAGGAGTATATATAGAGAGACGAGGGACATTTAAATGCCTGAAAACTAATTCGCATCGCGATGCTAATAACAGGAGTATATATAGAGAGACGGCGTTTCCAAATATCAAGTATATAAGCTCCACAAAGTGAAGTATTCCCGGGAAAAGGGTTTCTTTGGGGGATACCATACAAAAAATGGGGCTTGGCTTTTTTTGGGGGATCACTTTTAAAATGACACGTTTTACTGCTTAAAATACCTCCAAACTAATTAGCATCGCGATGCCAATAACAGGAGTATATACAGAGAGACGAGGGACATTTAAATACCCGAATTCGCACCGCGATGCTAATAACAGGAGTATATATAGAGAGACGACGTTTCTAAATATCAAGATTATAAGCTCCACAAAGGGAAGTATTCCCGGGAAAAGGGTTTCTTTGGGGGATACCATCAGAAAAAAATGGGGCTTGGCTTTTTTGGGGGAATCACTCTTAAAATGACGCGTTTTAATGAACAAAATACCTCCAAACTAATTAGCATCGCGATGCCAATAACAGGAGTATATATAGAGAGACGAGGGACATTTAAATACCCGAAAACTAATTCGCACCGCGATGCTAATAACAGGAGTATATATAGAGAGACGATGTTTCCAAATATCAATATTATAAGCTCCACAAAGGGAAGTATTCCCGGGAAAAGGGTTTCTTTGGGGGATACCATCAGAAAAAATGGGGCTTGGTTTTTTTGGGGGGATCACTTTTAAAATGACACATTTTACTGCTTAAAATACCTCCAAACTAATTAGCATCGCGATGCCAATAACAGGAGTATATATAGAGAGACGAGTGACATTTTAAATACCGCAAAACTAATTCGCATCGCGATGCTAATAACAGGAGTATATATAGAGAGACGGCGTTTCCAAATATCAAGATTATAAGCTCCACAAAGGGAAGTATTCCCGGGAAAAGGGTTTCTTTGGGGGATACCATCAGAAAAAAATGGGGCTTGGCTTTTTTGGGGGGATCACTCTTAAAATGACACGTTTTAATGAATAAAATACCTCCAAACTAATTAGCATCGCGATGCCAATAACAGGAGTATATATAGACAGACGAAGAACATTTTAATACCCCAAAACTAATTCGCATCGCGATGCTAATAACAGGAGTATATATAGAGACAACGTTTCCAAGTATCAAGATCATAAGCCTCACAAAGAGAGAGATTACAACATATTTTTTTGGTTTCACAATGCATTCAGTTTTCTTAAAAGTGTAGTAGACGATCGTGTTGAGCGACTCTTCAATGTTCTACCTCTACAGAAGCGTGCGGGATTTCTTTTCACTGTCACGCAACGTACAAACAAAGGACTTTTACTTCCTAACCTGTTCTGGAATACGTTGTACATTGAAATCCGTGCAGAAATAAAATATCCGATATGAAAATTTTAAATATGTTACTTTATGAATGAAATTCATCAGAAAAAGAATAAATGAGAGTACTAAAATGTATTATGCATTTACATGTAATCGCAATGGATAGCATTTATTCCGTATATCAAGACATTAAATATATATTGAATTTTGAAAGTTTTGTTTTTGAAGACCTTTGAATTTATTCCGTTATCAATTATCTCAACTTATTTCTACATAACGGAATAAAGTACATATAATGAATTTTGATACTTTTGTTTATGAAGACATTTATTCCGTTAAATGTTTATCTCAACTTATTTATAACGGAATAAAGTGCATATATTGATATTTGATAGTTTGTTTATGAAGACTTTTATTCCGTTAAATGTTTATCTCAACTTATTTATAACGGAACAAAGTGCATATATTGAATTTTGATAGTTTGTTTATGAAGACATTTATTCCGTAATATATTTATGTCAACTTATTTTTAACGGAATAAAGTGCATATATTGAATTTTGCAGTATAGTTTTGCATGTTTTGTTTATGAAGACATTTATTCCGTTAATACATTTATCTCAACTTTTTTTTATAACGGAATAAAGTTCATATATTAAATTTTGATAGTTTTGTTTATGAAGACATTTATTCCGTTATATATTTATCTCAACTCATTTATAACAAAATAAAGTACATATATATTGAATTTTTTAGTTATATAATTTATAGTTTTGTTTATGAAGACATTTATTCCGAATTATCAAAAATGCATTATTTTTTATACCGTACTTGAGAATAAGGTTATTTCTAAAAATATCACGGAAGTAACCAATTTCCCATGCAGAATTGTCTTTCGTTCCTCTTTCAGACATGACTTATGTATAAGCCGATGACAGAGAGTGGGAATTAACGGAATAAGCATAAAATCCATAAATATTGTTGTTTAAAGACTAAATTTTTAATTCTAAGCTCGCAAAATTATAATTTTATTTACGTCAACAACGTCAACAACGTCAAAAATTATTCGCATCGCGATGCTAATAACAGGATAATGCCGTCATATTTTACTGAAGACGGTGCATATATTTTTCAACCTTATTTTCCTGATCTCATGTCTTTCACATGCTCTTTCTCAAGTTCCTGCAGAACTGAGTACAACAAGTCTAGACCATGTTGGCTTCGAATATCAACTTTTGCATTTGTCATTTGTAAACAAATGATTAACACAAACCTTCACAACGTTGTCTGCTTCTGGAGCAGGTCCATAACTCATCGTTTTAAATATTTCTTTGACAGAATTTGGGTTGCTCTTGGACTTCGCTGCAGTTTCAGCCATCATGTTGCATGACTTGCTCATCGTTTTATGAAAATGCCAGAGGTTTTCGAATGTATGTCAGGGATTTCGGTACATTTTTAGACTTTACCATATATGCAAATAGTGACGTCATAACATGGCAGCCACCACAGTCTAGCAATTTCGGATCACTTGTGGTAAGTTTTGGGTGTTTCACAAGGAAACTACCCGCTATACAGACTTTATTTAAGAATCATTACAATATTTAACGTATACTTTGAAAATATGAAAACCAGAAAACAAATTCCTTTGTTGATTTCTTGCTATAGCCCCTGTATTTAACATGAGCTTTTCCTTCTCCAACATGCCTTAGGCCTAAGCCATATTCTATTTCAAGCCAAGTTCAAAACATTTGGCGAAAAAAAAAATAGAGCATTTAGATACTGGTGTTTTACTTGCATTCAACGTATGCCGACTTCATTGTCATTTTATTGATCTAAATGATATTTTTAATATTGATAACAAACGCTATTTTTATATTGTTCATGCACAGACTTGTCACGTTCATGTGAATGATAAACATGGTGCAAATGCCATGATTTCATTTTATTTTTGTTTTTTATGACGCTTTTTCTGTTCTGATGCTTTATTTTGCAATAATTAGTTTAGATAATTTCAGAAATTTAAATTATTAATTGTCAAAAATTAATATATATGCTTTTGGTGTGCTTTCACTTTGTCTAGTTTCAGTCATCATACAAAAGTTAAGTACACTACATATCATATGCACACAGTTTTTCTTTCCGATGAAACATTGACATACATCAAAAAAATATTTTACTGAATCATCCATCCAGATTTGCACATTTTATTTTTCAAGAATAAGAGACTAATAGCTGGGATATACATGCACTCTCAAGTTTGAAATTTCAAAAAATGCTTGTAATTTGGTATAATATTTTCTCTTGGTTAATTAAAGGACTTGTTTGAAAGTTCAAATATTTATGTTTCCCATGATCTAAGAATTGAAATTAGTGATACAGAATTTTCATTTACGTCTATTTACTCAGCTGTTATATGAAGAGATTGATATAAGAATGCTTCTTGCATATATATTCATGCAAGTATTTATGCATATTACCCCATAAAACACTTAATTTTTGGATTATAATGACTATGTTAAAAAAAAAAAAAACTTCAGATATTGGTATATAATCAGAAGCATCGGGAACAGTGAAAATTCAACCTAAAATATGTTTTTCTCATGTAATTATCCTGTATGAAGGTTGAAGAAAAATGGTGCTGATCTTTTTTGAAAAATTGGTCATCAACCTCAAACCCCTCATCTCTTCATATTAATTACAAACCTAGCTGTTATGAATACATTTATATTACACTGTATTTCCAATAGCACAGCAAACATATGTTCAAGGGAAAAAAGTGGGTGTGACTTGCATTAACAAGTTGCTTAAGGATATTTTTGTCAGAGCACTGCTCTGCCCATGAGACACATTTCAAAGCATTCATTGTGTGGGTTCATTAATTAAGTACACCTATATTCAATTTACCTAATGAAGTACACAAGGAAAGTTGAATTATTAAGAGGTGAGATAAAAAGTTTGAATACAAAAACTTTATTAGTAGCTTTCAGTAATATCATGATTATAACTTTTTTTTTTAATTTTGCCTGTGTTTTTATATTTGTGTATTTGATAACTCAGAGCTGCTGGTGTTATGAATATGATAATATTTGTCCAAGACTTTTTGGTGATATGTGACCCTGAACATCAGTGCTTCTGAATCACCAAGCTTTTGTTTCAGAGAGAGCAGATCAGAATGATAAGATAGATGTGTTATAGATATAATTAAAAGCAGATTCTCTTGAATAATTGACAAGTTAGTTATATGTTATCAAGATTGATCTCCATCATCGTGATCATATATTTAGAGTTATTTGTGGGCAACAGCATTATAAATATAAACATACAGTGGGTTCTTTAAGTTCATAGACCTAGGTCACTTTTGGAGGAAAGTCTTCAATGAGTTCATGCAGGCAATGATTATGATAATAACTTAATTATTTTCATTCTAAACAAGTCCAGGAACCCTGCATCATCTTCTATCACATATGTTTTGATGACTAAGATCATCCCACACCCATCAAATTCAGAACAGAAGAGAGATAAAAAAAATCACTCTGCATCATGCAGGCATATTTCTTGTTTCATTATTCAAGAAAAGTTCCATCTATCTGTTGATTGTTAACGAACAAGATAAAGGATATATTTTTCATTCAGTATTAGCTAGGAGTATTTCTTGATATTTTTTTCTCTGCTGTGGAACTTTGTGTGATATTTCACATTGTGGAAATGATAGAAAGTATCAATAAGTGTGCCAGTTAGGACATTGTTACATGTAAAGTGTGCTTCTATTTTTCCTGGAATTCATGGTTCTGAAGCAGGTGCATCTTGACTTGGTGTCTGTGTAGTGCTGAGAAAAACGACAGAATGTTTGTGATATGATAACTGTGTGATGAGTGTTGTAGCAATTAAGAACGACTGTTACTGCAGCGATGAACTGGTTACCATGCCAACTTATCCAGCATTGTCCTGTGACAACTAGTGTGTGGTCATCTTGTGATAAAGTATGATCAAAGTTTACCTGTAATTTAGTGTAATTAATTATAGTGTACATTATTCTTTATATATAGGTTCATCTCTTCATATTTTTCTATTGAGTGATTTATTACAGGTATGCATATATCTAAATTATGCATTGAGAGATATGGAAATTTAAACTTCTATAAAACTAAAAAAAAAAAATTTAGTTATAATATACAATGAGACCATTTTCTAAATTGAAAATTAAAATGACTAAAATTCATAAAATCTCAATATAAAGCCAAGCATCCAACAGATCATGTTACAATATGGTTCATCATCATAATTTCTTGCTATTTTACCACATGTTTTTATCCAGGTGGCAAAGCTCTGTAACAGAATCCCATTACAACTGGGGTCTTATGTGCATTATGTAACACTGTCTGGTTAAGGTGTCTGTAACATTACTTTTATATATACAAAAAATGCAATGAAGGTGAAGATCTAACATATATAGATTCTACAGGTGTCTGTAACATTACTTTTATATATACAAAAAATGCAATGAAGGTGAAGATCTAACATATATAGATTCTACAGGTGTCTGTAACATTACTTTTATATATACAAAAAATGCAATGAAGGTGAAGATCTAACATATATAGTTTGCCAGTACTATATTGCAACATCATGGAATCAAAGTTATAAGGTATTTTGAATTTAAAGATATATGTGCCGTATTAGTGTTTTATTTTAAAAGAAATAAATATATGTGGTGTCTCATCAAGTTATATAAGTTACATACTTTCTGCAAATAAGACAATTCCACTCCAT